TATATTTGTTTTTTTTTTTTTAATTTTAGTTAAGGTCTCATAGGCACCACCAATTCCCTTACCTTCTTGATCTTACACTGCAATCACCCAACCTCTCCTCACCCCGGCCTCAACTCACAACGCATTTTCTCCATTTTTGATGGACTACTGAGGGCCATTAGAGAAGACTCCAAACCTTACTGTCTGGCCCCATTTCACAGCTAGGGTTTCCAGCCTCAGCTGGGCAGTCTTCTTTGTTCACCATTGCTTCTTCCTCAACATCAGAAAGGTCTATTCCAGTCCTTTCCTACCCTGCTTCAAGGCCCCATCCCCACTGTGCCTCTCATTCTGACCATACAGCTTAATCTCTAATTTACCAAGTAAACAGAGAACATTTGGCATTACTTCTCTCATCTCCTCTTCATCTATGAACTTGCCCTTCTAGGCCACCCTTCCCTTCTTTCATCCTGAGTCAGGAAAAGGGCATCTTGATTCTACTCCAAGGCTTATCCCTGTCTTCAATTTCATCCTCTATCCTGTCTCCTCCCTTATCATAGAAACAAGCTTATGTAAATGTCATATTAAAATGTTAATAAAATGTAAAATGTTTATACAGCACTTAAAATATGTCAGACCCTGTTGGAAGCACTTTACATATGTTAACTAATTTAATCTTCATAACAGCCCATAAGCTAGGTATTAATTACAACTATCCCCATTCTACAGATCTAGGAACTAAAGCACAGGGAGGTCAGCAGATCTGCCCAAGGTCACACAGACAGTAAGTACAGAGCTGAGATTAAAACCCAAGCAGTCTAACTCTTAACCACAAAGTCCCATGTATAGAAGCTCCCATAACAGAGCTGGAACCGAGAGAGGTAATATAAAGCAGAGTGGAGTTAGAAGACTGGACAGAGAAATCTACAGAGCATCAAAACAATGGAAATGTAACTCTCAGGGCTGGATGGGAAAATCAGGGGTTAGAGGTACCAGAGGGCAAACGATGGAGAGGGTATCTGTGGGGTTTGTCTTGTGTTGCCTACACTATGAATATGGCTATTTCCATTGTCTCTTGATTCTATCATCTCAAATTATCTCCACACAAGTAGTTACCCTGACAGTTCACAGTCAAAGCCAATACTCCTTACCCCATGGGAACCTACTACATGAGATATGAGTGACTCAACACAAATTCCGCCCCCTCAACAGTATGTGAGAAAGAGCTCAAAGCACAACACCTTCACATACTCGCCACATACAAGCTGCCTACTTGTGCTGGAGAAACAGACCTACTCCATGAAGCCCCCTTTTTAATATTTAAATTCTCCCTACGGCCACCTAGCAAGTGCCACCCCAGCCTAATATGAAAACCTTGCCCCAGACAGACCACTCCCCCTGAGACTGTTCTAACTTTCTTCCTTAGTATTTACCAGAAATCTGTTGCTTTATAGCCTCCCAATCGCCATGCTTTTTTCCTCACACTATAAAGGATAAAACTAATACTTCAAATGTTAGTCCTTCACATCTCTTTGGGAAGTTACCAAATGTGTGATTTTTCTATCAAATTATTCCTCCCCACCTTCCCCACAACACACAAACACGCACATGCACACGGATGCACACACACACACACAGTCTCTTCTTCACCAGGCAAAACAAATACACTCAGTCTCAACAACAGTCCTTCATATGACCTGCTTTTAACATCATCCTTATCCTTGTCACTGTACTATCCAAGTATGATCGATTTTGCTTACCTCTTCCTCAACATGTAGCACGGCAGCAGCAAGACACTGCTGACTCATACCAAGCAAATCCTAAAGATTAGTTTCACGTGTGCTGCTTCTAGCATCTGGGCTCATTCTTTCTCTACTTGCACAGCTGGTGTCCAGGCCCCTGCATGCTTACTGATGTTCACATTACATTGGTCAACCTCACCCTTTTTCATTGTGCTACTTCCCCTAGCTCCTAAGAGCTAGATCCACTGATACCAATACCATCACCCCCTGGTTAAATCAAACCCCACTTTTCACAGCCAATCTTGACCAAGGCAAGTGCATCCGCAGCCTCAGGCTACCATCAGGAACATAGAACTAAGTCATTTCTCCAGTCCTTACTGACAAATCAATGCTGGGAGCCATGTCACTCCAGGAGTGCCCCATAGGGCTCCTACATGGCCCCTGGGCTCACTCCTTCCCTCTTCTATCCCTAAGAGTGGTTACAGATTTGATCCTTTAATTACCAATTCAATGGCCACAGATTACTTGCTTCACCCAAATCACTGATCTGGAAACAATGATCCACTGCAATAGGGAGAATAAAACAAACAAAAAAATTAGCCATTTCTAGAAGCCATTATTCAGAAAACAGATTCTCTGGTCTGTAGGTAGCAGGCTAGCTTATATAGCTACACACACACACACACACACACACACACACACACACACTCTCCTAAAAAGTGTTACACTAAATTTCAAATGTAACTCTCAATAGGTTTCAACCAATGAATACTCAGGAAGCACACAAACTAAGCTTTAGAAACTAGAAGTAACACCATCTCTCACCAAAAACACATATGCCAAGAATCACAGGCAAAAGGACAGAGGTCATCTACCCCCACTCCCTTGATTCCTAAAGTGATAAAACTAAGTGTCTAAGAGACGAAGTGATTTATTCATGGTAACAGAGCAGGCTCCTAACAACACTGAAACAAAGGCTCTGGTCTCCAGATTCCCAGTCCACAAAGTACCTGGAAGTTTATGAGAGACAACAGGCTTTAAAGAATTTGAAACAGACACAGGCTCTTCCCTCAGAAGTATGCACACAGTACCCAATATATTCCATAGCACCTTAGGAAACAGTAGGCAATTAAAACAAAAAGACAATTACAGATCAACACTCATGTGCCTTTATCTACCAGATACAAGTTTCTCAAAGTGTTGACTATAAAACACAAAACTGTGAAATTATCATTTATATAAGGGATTCCAAACATTTTGCCCATGAATATTACTGGTTATAACAAATTATCACAATTTAATTAACCCAAAATAATAGTAATCAGAAAAGAAAAGCAAGTAAGCACCAGAAAGGCGGTATAGCATAGTTGCCAGAGGCTAACCATTTGAATCCAATTCCTTCCACTCACTAGCTGTGTAACCCTGAGGAAGGTGCTCAACCTCTCCGGGTCTCCATCTCCTCTTCTATGAAATGAGGATAGTAGTGTTTACCTCAGAGTGGTTGTGAAGATTAGCTATGTTAATAAATTGTAGAGTATCTGGAACAGTGCCTGTCACATAGTAGGTACATAATAATTGTTCTCCTCTGTTTACTTTTTTTTGGCTCTTCTCTACTTACATGTTATTCTTTTCCACTTAGATAACCAACTCTCGATATTTATCATCTCTTTAAGCCTAGCCAACCATCATATGGCACTGGAATAAAATGTAAGCTTTCCTAAGGACCCAGGTTTTGAGTCAAAAATTTTAAAATGATAGAGACATGGTGGAAAAGAATGGATACATGTCCAAGGCACATGATAAATGGTCAAAAATTAGGAGAACTGAATTACGGAGAATGACAGATTTGCCTGCCTTGGACTGGGGGTGAGAAATGCAACAGTTTTCAAAACGAGTCAAATCACAAACATTTTATTTATCACATTTACCAACCTGGCAATGCCCGTCATCACCACCGCAACTACTAGCCAAGAGCCCCTTTACACTTCCTAACATTCCTACTTCTGCTTCTTCTCCATATCAACAGACTCCAGGAGAAAACAATCCCTCAGAAAATGAGGACACAGGTCTCCCTGGAATATAATCCCATTAAGTTCCATGAAAAGTAAACAAAAATGAATGATAAAGAGAAGCACAATGCATTTCTTCCCTTTAGATTTGCTGCCTGACTCCCTCTAGGTTGACCAGGACACTCTCTAGGTCCAAGTCAGTGCTGCTGTCCATGCTGGCAAATGATAAGAGCAGTTCAGCTGGACATGACCGTAAGGGTAAAGAATCTTGGTTGGGATTGGTGGACACTCTTGGAGAGCTCTGAAGAGATCAGATTTAATCAAAGTCACTTACCTGATGCTTACTCTCGTGGAGCAGCATATAAACAGGAACAATGAGAGAAGAGAGTGACCAGATTATAAGTAGCTAGAGAGGAGGTAACAATGTTGAGAGAAGGGTGATACAAGTAGGGACAAAAAAGAAAAGACTTTCAAAGAGTCATAAGGAACAGTGGTAAGATATGGCAACAAATTAGAAGCACTTGTTAAAACTTAATGAGGCTTGAAGATCTTCAAGGTAACAGGATTTAGTATGAGACAGAAAGTAGGTACTGCTGGCAATTATAAGACCAGCCCTGGGAGAGAGGACGCAGGTGGAATCACAAGTTCAGCCTTGTCATGTTAAATTTTAGGCAAAAGCCAAGAATCCGGTGAGAAATAGCTCATGGGTAGCTGGAAAATTATAATATTTAGAGCATTTCTAATAGGTTCAGAATATCAACTAGCTCACAGTTCAGTTGATTTAAGAGTTTTCTCTCATCAGCAATAATATATCTTTAAGTGGCAAGCAATTAAAACATGAAATAGGTTCAAGATGGATTTAAAATGTATTAATATTAATGAGTAATAATATATTATTAATTATGAACAAAAAGTGGGAGTATTTAAGCTTTAAGTTCAATATATAAAGATGATTTTGTGGAGAATACTAAATTTTTCTGCACACAAAAAGAACATTTATGTCACTGTCAGACACAGACTATTAGGCATATGCGTCATTATTTTGACTTAAGATAGTATTTCACAGGTTTATTATGTCATATAAATTAATCATAATACTACTTTAAGTTCTATGAATTATATTTTTAGCTTTTACTCAAATCCTTACTGACAAACACCCATGTTAGTTTTCCTGACTAATGTAACATATAAAAACAGTCATAAAACAGTCGAAGGAAATCAGAACATTTTTAATACAATCATTGGCTACTTTAAATGAAAAAAAAAGACTTACCACATTTTCCTTCATCTTTCTTAGCTCTTCATCTATCTCTTTCAACCGATTCTGCTGATCCCGTTGCTCTTTGGTGTTCTGAAGTACCTTTTCTCCTGGAGTTATTTCCATATTTTTAACATCACCAGTAAGGTCAGGCTCCTAATTTAAAAAAAAAAAAAATTCAAGTACAGGCTGAAAATGCACCATCACACATCATTCCAAAGCAACTGAGCCTTGAAGGTTGGATTTGCTTCTCAAAAAATATTTCTTCCCTTCAAAATGATATTTATAGCTCTAAAGTCTTCTTATCTGAGGGATGAAAGGTCCAGCTATACATAAAACAAGTAGGCAAATAAACTCAATCATCTGGAAAGCAGGAAGTTAGAGTGAAAAGAGCAGTGGGCAGGGAGCAGGGCTCTAGTCCCTGGTCTGTACTTATAAGCTTGGAATCTTGGGCAAATCAGTTTTTCGGGTCTTCAAGTGCATCATGTAAATAATAAGAAAAAAAACCCCTGCCCATCCATGTTACAAGGGGCAGCTATGTAAGAGTGAAAAGAGAAGTAGATTTGGCCAAGTCCGGAGTTTTGCACCCTGACTCTACATGGTTCTTGACTGAGATGGCCTCAGGGAAATCAATTAACCTCTCTGAGTTTCAGTTCATCATCTGCAAAATTATAATAATAATAAGATCTAGCCTAAAAGTCATTATAGTGCAACACAGGCATGCAACAAATCTTAGTACCTACCAAATATGAGCTGAATATGTCCTTTGAAAAGAATAAGAATTATAAAATGGAAGTATTTTATTATTATCAGCAATATTTGAAGTGACAGAACCAAATTCTCCCAAAGTTAATATTCCTAGATGATTCAAATGGGTATCTCTTGACAGTAAGCTGTTCCTATACCTATAACTAAATTTCCTGCGTTTTCTCCACGGATCTCCTACTCCGTGTTGCCATGCAGGTGACTGGCATAAGTGACATTCTGAAGTTGCTTAAGCCAGAATCCTCCCACATTCTCATTTCTTACATAGAGTTGGTCACCAAGAATCGTTACCAATTTACTTTTAATACCTCTTTAATCAAGGCCCTTCTCTCTTTTTCACTGTCTCCTCATCATTCACTTGAACCAGTAGTCTTCAAACTCCAGTGTGCTTCAGACTCACCTACAGAGCCTGTGAAAATATTCAAAGGCCCAGCCTCTACCCCAGAGATTCTGATTCAATAGGCAAGAATGGGAGACATACCACCTGAAGCACAACTGCTGGAAAATTTGACAACTATTGACTTGAAGTGCAAGTCCTCACCCACTCCTTCATGGCCTGAGCCCTGACTATTTCTTTATCATCTCCAATCAAGTGATCTCAGACCCAAAGCCACAGCAACATTCACTGCTAGTTCACCACTCCATGTCTCTTCCTTCCAACTCCTTATGCAGACTCCTATTCTTTTTAAGCCCAGCACAAACATATTGTCACTACAAAATATTCCATGACATAGCCAGGAAGGGCAATTATTCTCCCAGACATGTCACAGGTTCCCTCACTGCACTTTCCACAGTGCTACTGCCCAGACAGGGATGGTGACTAATCCCTGTTCACATCCCAGTACAAACCATAATCCTGAAGCTGTAGAAGCACTGGCCAACAGACTGTAATTGTGGTTCTCAGAACTCCGATCACACTGTTTCAATGACATTCATACTGTATAAAATTCTAATGAGGCAACATTAAAAGAGTACATCAGTTTCAAGAAGTGATTCCTTTTCCCCCAAAGGGGACTCATTTCTGGTAGCTCTTGATCACTAGAAGCATCTAGAGAGCAAATTATTATCAGATCTGTCTTTAAAAAGGAAACCTAAAGTTAGGAGTTCAGAATAGATGGTATCAATATCTCTTTGCAGCTCTAGACATCTGGCATTTTACGACCCACTATGAAGTAGGATACATACTGTCTTAGTCTGTTTAAGCTGCTATTACAGAACACCACAGACTGCGGGTGTCTTATAAACCACAGAAATGTACTTCTGTCACTTCTGGAGGCTTGTAAGTCCAAGATCAAGGCACTGGCAGATTTTGTGTCTGGTGAAGCCTGCTTCCTGGTTCCTAAAAGGCCATCTTTTAGCTGTGTCCTCACATGGCAAAAGGGACAAGGAAGCTCTTTGGGTCTTTTTCATAAGGGCACTTATTCCATTCATGAGGGCTCCACCCCCTTGATGAAATCACACCCAAACACCATCATGTTGAGGCTTAGATTTCAACATAAGAATTTGGTGGAGTCACAAACATTCAGTCTATAGAACACAGGGATCTGAAAAACATCCAAACTGGATTTCATTTTTAAATAGAAATCATTTTTTAAAAAGAAAGAAGAATATCATTTTAAATAATCCACAACTAGGATTTTTAAAAAATCTTTGGGCAGGCAGAAACAGAAAGAAAGGTCTGTAAACCAGACTTTATCAATATTTTAAAATTTTACTTATCCAAAGTCACCAGTAAGAAAACAGAAAAGCCACAGACTGAGAGAAAAATATAATACACAAATCCAACAAAGGACTTGTATCCAGTGTATCACATAGAAGGAACTAACAGAATTTAATAATAAAGTAAACAAAAATAAATAATTTTTAAAAATCCAGTTCTAAAACGACTTGAACAGATACTTTGTAAAAGAAGATATGTAAATAACAAACAAGCATATGAAAAGTCCTCAACATAATTAAGTCTTCAGGGAAATGCAAATTAAAATCACAATGAGGTATCACCCTATAGCCACCAGAATGGTCCAGATGAACATTTGTTACCACTAAACATTGGAGAGGTGTGGAACAAGCAGAACTCTTGCATATTGTTGGTGTAAGTATATAATGGCATAGCCACTGTGGAAAACTGGCAGTTTCTTAGAAAGTTAACCATTTATCTGTCCTATGACTCAGCAATTCCACTCCTGTGAATCTATCCAAGAGAAATGAAAATGTATGACTCAAACTTGGTACATGAATGTTCAGGGCAGCTTTATGCACATGGCAGCTTTATCCACCAGCACGAGATGATCAACTGTGGTGAGCATCTGATGCAAGCTGGGATGATCACTCTTCCTCCTTGACCTCTGTCTTGGGTTAGGTTTAGTCAGTGTCAGGGGAGGAGTGTTAGGAGACTGGAGGGTAGGAGGAAAAAGAGCTCAAGGTATTTTCCCCTTCCCCTCCCTGCTTTGGCATTATGATATTGACAGCAATGGATCCCCAAGGTGCTCATTAAGGGGATTTTCTCAGATTCAATTGAATATTCATGCTCAAAGACAAACAGAGGCCACACCTGGACCAGGCTACTCAGAAGGATACAGGACAGAAAACACAGCAGGGTAGTGTCAGGTATCCCTCTTCAATGGGAGTTTTTGCTACAGTCCACGTCATAACAGTATAGGTACAAGGGGCACAGAAGCTACCCTGGCTTAAAAGCTTCATACCCCATAGAAGCATCCTCTCTTGAAATGACCCCATAGGCACACTGTCCAGGGTCTCAGCAAGGGACATTCCCCGCCACAAGAATCACTGATCTAGGAAAGTTCAAAGGATGGCTTCCCCATCAGGTCTCTAATTTCTCCCAATCCAGAGGTTACTTTTAGCATAAGCAAAATTGCCTCCTATCATTGTTGACAATCCAACTTCCATCAGATTGCCAGGGAAACAGTTAGGGAAATTAACTATAGCTCAGATTGTCACAATGAAGAGGGAGGAATTGGTTACTCCTTTGCTCATGCCCGATAGGATTACAATTTTGGATGGCAGATTCTTCCACCACAGCTCTGGCTCTCCCTAAGCTCCAATACACTTTCTCTTTCCCCTACCCACTGTAACTAGTCCCTAGGTGTCCCAACATCCCTTATTGGCGCCTTTAAATCTATAAATAGTCACTTCATTTAATTATCTTCAAAATCCAAGCTGGGTGTTTTCTCTGTTCCTTACCCAGAACTCTTACGGGTATACTGTATATGTATGTGTATATGTGGATACAGACTGGAAGAAACATCTATCTTGATGGTAAAAATCTGGATAATTTTATCTTACTTTTTGTAGATGTTTTCTTATTTTCTGAATTTTCTACAATAAACATGTACTGATTTCATAAGCATAAAAAGTCGTTTTTTTATTTTTAAGAAAACAAAAATATTATTATACCAAGGCTATTTCCATTCTGCTTTGACAATGTGGCTCTCTGTATCCAAAAGATACGGGCCTGAAGGTTAGATTTTAGCCCCAGTTCTGTTGGCACAGCAGCTGTGTACTTTTGAGCAAGTTGCTGTTTCTTTCTGGGTCTCAGTTTCTTCTGAGAAAGTTTCTTCTGAGAAAGTTTCTTTCAACTCAAAAAGCTTATGAGTTTGCAATTCTCCACAGTTAAATCCAAGGATATATAATATCTTTCCTCAGTCATAGTCTCTGATAGCATAACCATACAGTACAAATATTTGAGGGAGAGCAGGTGATGAAAGCAGAAGCCAAGAGGGCACAAGAAAAGGTAAGTAATCATTGGTTCTGGCAAAGATCACCCACTGGTACATTCAAGAAGCTCTGTGGTGTCAGGAGAGGTTCTACTGTCATATCAAAGTGCCAATAAGCACCGTCTGTTTTCCTGATCATCAGAAAAATCTTAACTTCCTCTGGGAGAAAGTTTGGAGCGGATTCTCAGATCCATATAGTTTCCATGTTTCTGAGTCATGCAGGAATGCTTTTATTCAGTTAAAGTAAAACTCAGTTCAGTAAAAGCTCTTCGTGATATGCACAGAATATCTAAGAAGCCACAGGAAGATAACTGGCCCTGAGGTCAATAGGTATTTGTTGTTTTAACTAATTGATCGCCAAGGGATTCTAAGTTCATCCTCAGAAAACTAGCTGTGGTGCTGACTGAGTCAACGGGGTTTTTAAAGCTAAGTAAACTTGTTTCTAACAGCCAAATACAGAGAAAATTAGTCACACCTTCATAAGTTACCTGATATGAAAATAAGGCATGAGTTAAGGGTCAGAAAAACACAAGCCTGCCTAAATAAAGCCAGCTTGCCTCATGTTTTCAAACTAATGGTATATTTTCCCACAGGCTACTGCTATTTCCTGTCATTAGATGGATCATTTGCCTGGCAGTACTAAAAATAAAGAAAAAA